ACAGAATCCCCTTAGAGAGTGGCAGAAGGAAGAAAATGGGCTGGGGTCCCTGCTGCCATCCGGAGTTCCTCAGACCCTGGCACAAAGGCCTTGGCTCGAGGCCTCCAAGGGGGGGGGGAGGGGGAGGAGAGGCCGCCTGGCCACAGTGTGACCTTCAGAGGCCCCCAGAGAAGGGCACCTGGCCCCTCCCCGCCCACAACTGCCCCTCCCAGTGCCCCCTGGACTTGGAGGGGGTATGAAGTTTCTGACCCCTTTGCTCTTTGGGGCCCAGGAGGAGTGGAGGGCATAGACAGAATGTTGGCAGAGGGAAGCCAGGGGGTGCCATGGAGATGGGTGAGGGGCTGAGGCAGAGACTCCAGGGGGGTCCCTGAGGGAACTGTAGGGGGAGGCTCCAGCTGGGATCCTGGAAACTGTTATCTGACCTTGGCCCTGGAGGCAAGGCTGGGGGTCTGGGGTGTATTGGGGGGTGTGGGAAGGAGAGAGACAGGCAGACAGACAGAGTCTCTGCGGAGTCTGCAGTTTTGCGGGCTAGAGCGCAGCTCTGCTGCTCGGGATCTGCCCCAAAAGAGGGGCAGGTGGGGTGGGCAGTTGGTGACAACTGGAGACCCTCTGGAAGGGCTGGGAGAAGGCTTTGCCTGCGGGGTGCTGTCAGGTCCACTTGGTTGGGCTAGTTGACCTTCACAGCTTCTGGGGAGGGGAGGAATGATCTGGTGGGGGTGGGGAGGGATGAGAGGCCTCAGGCCTAGGTAGTGCAGGGGGCCCTCTAGGGGTTGGGCAGTGCTAAGGCATAAAAAGCTTTCCTGGTTGCCTTTGAGGAAGGTGTCCAGCAAGTGAGAGGGACTTGGGACCCCCCTCAGTCTGGGAGGGAGAAGAAACCAGGGAACAGGGTGGGAGCCCGAGGCTCGGGGCTTTGGAGATAAATTCAGGCTCTAGGGAGATGGGTGCGCAGGGAAAAATGGGGCCCTCCCCTCCCCCAGGGTTCCCTCCCATGTTTTACCCTCTAGGCAACCTGTGGCTTTGCTAAGTATTCCTGAGGATAGAAGAGTTTGGATGGGGGAGGGTGCTTGGTGCCCTTCGGTCCTCTGTACCGCCCCCCCCCCAGCAACAGCGCACCCTGGTATTTGTTATGTCAGCAGGAGAAGGTCACCATGTTGTTTTTCTCGCCCCCAGTCCTTCCTTCCTGCCCCAGTCCAAATTTGTCCTCCTGTTTGACCTTAATACTTACCCGTGGCTTGGGACCAGGGAGTCAGGGGGGCTGAGAGACTTCACATCTTTTAGCTCAGCAAGGAGCCAGTGGGGGCTGGGGAAGGGAAATGTGGGGGAGGGGCAGGGACCTGGGCAGCACAGCATTCTGGTGTTTTCCTACTGTGTTTTGAGGCCCCCCCCCCCCAACCCAATATCTGGTCAGTCTTTATCTTCCTTGGCTTCAGAACTGGGGCAGTCCAGGGGTGGTGCTTTGTGCTGTGGAGAGCCCCCGGAGGTGCCCTGCTCCATTCAGAAGCCCTGGAGAAGCCAGAGGCTGCGGGTTGGGAGGGACTTAAGGAGGGAGCAGGGGCGGGGTGGCTGGGTCTGTGCATCCCTGCTTCTGCCCATGCCCATTCTTCGTTCTTTGTTTTGTCTTCAGTGGTCCCAGGCTGCACCCATGGCAGAAGGAGAGCAGAAACCTCACGAAGGTAAGTCCCCCCCCACGCCCACCCCTGCACATGGATGGGGGGGGTGTCCCTTGATCCCCCAGGGGATGGGTGGGAAGGCCCAGTTCCTTCTCAGGTCTGTTGGGGTTTGGGTGGGGAAGGGGCACAGGAATCTGGGGATCTAGAAAGGAAAAGGTGAGCTCCGGGAGATTAACCCTTCCATCCTGGAGGACTCTGTCTGTACTACTCAGACCCCGGCTAGAAATAGGACTTGTGGTCTTTTTCTTCTGCTCTTTCCAGTAAGATTTTATTTGGAGAGGGAGTTGCGAGCACAGACCAGGAAGACAAATAGTGTTCAAGGATCCCAGGTGTCAGGGGAGGTGTCCCTTGTTGCCCCTGCTCCCAGGGGAGGATGGATACCCAGCCAGATTCCGCCTGTGGGGTCTGTGTGGCAGAGGCTGTGACCCCTGCTGTCTAGATTGCTGGCTGTGTATGAGCTGGAGGTGCAGAGGGCCCAGGCTCATGGAACTCCCTCCCCCCACTTGGCATTCCTTTGGGGGTGGAGAGAGAAAGCCCTACAGCCTCCCCCTGCCCTCCTGGGGAGTAGGTTTGGGTGCTTGTGAACTTCCCTCTTGGTCCAGCAGAGGGCTGGCTGTAGCTCCCAGGAGCCCCGCCCCTCTGCCCAGCCTGAGTCTGCCTGCCTTTTGTTTGCCGCGGTTTGGAGTACAGATCCTCCCATTTCTCTAGGGATGCCCTGGCTCTCCCCACTACTGAATGTGGCCTCTGCTCCAGCCCGATGTGCCACTCCCCCAGCTCCCCACCTCTGAGAAGGGACGGCCCTGGGGTCTTCCTCCAGGCGAGTTTCCCTGACCCAAATCCAGTGGCCCGGATGGTGGCCAGGGGCAGTGTTTGTACTCCCAGGGCTGGTGGTGATGCCTGGCCAGTTCTGCCTCTTTCCTCACTCAGGAGCCCTTTCCTTGACCCAGGCAGGGCCTGGCTTCCCCACCTGTGCCACTGACAGGCCTCCGCTCCCAGGGTGCACCCACCCTGCCTCAGCCTCCACTGGTCTCTCTCTGAGGTCTGGGAGAGGCAAGACAAATGGTCTTTGTTTGCTGGGATAAAGGTTGTCTTATTAGAGAAATAAGGAAAACCACGAAGCCTGAAGTTGGAGTGTATGTGCGCCCACGCCTGAGCAAAAGCAGGACAGCTTTCCTTGGAGGTATTGGCTGGGGTGTGAAGGGTGCGGTGAAGTCACCCCCCCTCTACCTCCTGTGGGCCTTGAGGATTGCAGGGAGCTTTTCCAAGGTATTCCCACCCTGGATCTTTTTACCGTCAGCTACCAACTGCCATGACCCAGGCCAGACTGTTCTGCCGTCCTGTCCTTGTGGCCCTGAAGGCTTGGCCACCTCTATCCCCAGCCAGGACGAAGTGTCAGGGCAAGAATTCTTGATTAGTCGTCTTCTTCAATAGAGACTTGGCTTATTTACAAAAGGACTTTTTCAGATCCCTGGTCTTGTTTATACCCTTTTTGATGACGCTTGATCCTAACCCTTGTAGCGGTGGGGAATTCTGTGCCCATTGTCTGGATGGGGAAGCAGAGACCTCAGGCAAGGCCAAGGACTGGCTTGGGAGCCCCCTTCCTGTTTTCACACGTACAGCCTCCCCACTTCCCCTCAGCTCCTCACATTCTCCCTAATCCACTATATATACCCCCCTCCCCATCACCCAGGCTCATCTTCCTTCACCCCCCTGGAGGGAGGAGTGAGGAGAGGCTCAGCTATGGCCTCTGGGAAGAGGCAGCTGGGGGAATGCCCTTCAGATGTCTTGGTGGGGTTCTAACCTTGTGTCACCTGGGCTGAGAAAAGGGCGCTTGTTCTTAGGGCTGGAGATGGAAGGCAGAACCCTATGCTTCAACCTCTGTTTCAGTGTCTTTAGAGATCAGCCCAACCCACTTACACAGATGTGCAGAGTCTGAGGCCTAGAGAGGGAGGAACTGTCCCAAGGTCACACCAAGTCCTGGCCAGAGCCCAGGCTTCCTCGCTGGCTAGGTGTTGGTTCTTCCCTTCTATTCAGGGGAAACTCATTTCAGGGACAGGATTGCTCTGTGGTGGTGGTGGAGGGGTGATGGGGAGTGGCAGGCCAGGCCACAATTTGGAGTAGTCATTCAGAGTCCTGACTTTATTTATTCTCAGGGGCCCTACCTCTGTGGCCCAGAATTACCCCTTCATGCTCCGGTGCACCCCAGGCTCCACGGCCAGCCTGGGAAGTTGTCTTTACCCTGGTCTCCCTCCAGATCAGCTTCTAGAAATGCTCCGTGACTGCAGTGGCGGCACCGTTTTTTCCATGATGCAAGCAGTTTGCCCTCCTGGGTGGGGTTATCGGTGGCTGGCAGGGCCAGCACAGTGTTCCCGCCCATAGCCACCTGCTGTTTCCAGGCAGACCCAACCCCTGTGCCAATGCCCACCACCTCCTCAGCCCGAGTCTGGGGAGGGGGTCTGGCAGGTGGCAAAGTGCCCCCTGATGCTTCCCCTCTGTTTCACAGGATGTTGGCTTGGGAAGGCTTTGATGTCAGAGTTGACTTTAACTCTGTTACTGACTGGCAGTGTGGCCTTGAGGCCAGTTACTCAGCCTCTGTAAGCCTCTAGTTCCCCATTTGTAAAATGGGGGGTCCTACTAGAACCTCAGATACCATGGGGGGAAGAATTGTTTGGGGTGACATCTATGGACTCCTGTACACAGTGCCCAGCACATAAGAAGTGCTCAGTAAGTGGTTGTCGGTTAATGGTATGGCAGTTGCTGTGGGGAGTTGGAGGGAAATGGAGAGCGGGTTTGCCAAGCTGGCTGCTCTTCCTTTCACGGGAAGCTTAGAGACCCCTAACAGGTATACTCATACTCAGACTGTCCTCTGGCATCACGGTTGACCTAGGGATTGGCTTGGCTGTCATGGCGAGGCAAGGGGATCAGATGTGCAGGCTGACTCCCTTAGAACCTGACAGTGCCATGTGATCTTTGGAATAAAAACAGGCCTTTATCAGCGTTGGTGGTGGAAAGCTAGGAAAGGACTTCAGCCACAGCCAAGAGCCTTAAGTTAGATTTTTAGAAGGACTGTCGTGGGTACCTCTCACAGAAAAGAGCGGCCTTACAGAGCTGGGTGGAGAGAAGGGCTGGCCGCCTCTAACGTGACCTGCTGGGCTCATGTGTCACCCCCTGCCATGCAGTGGTGAAGTTCATGGACGTCTACCAGCGCAGCTACTGCCGTCCAATTGAGACCCTGGTGGACATCTTCCAGGAGTACCCCGATGAGATTGAGTACATCTTCAAGCCGTCCTGTGTGCCCCTGATGCGGTGTGGGGGCTGCTGCAATGACGAGGGTCTGGAGTGTGTGCCCACCGAAGAGTTCAACATCACCATGCAGGTGGGCACCTGCGGGGAGCGGGGGAGGGGCTGCGTGGGGTGGGGGCATTAGGCTTTGCCAACAGGTGGTCCCCGGCCCTCTCCTGGGCAGCTCTCGAAGGGAGGAGCCAAGCTTGCCTTGCCTACCTCTCGCCCCTGAGTCAGTCAAGGGGAGATGTGGAGGTCTTACCCTCTTTGGAGAAAAAGATGCTTGCATTTCTGAGCCCAGGTTTCCAGCAAGTCCTGACCACCTCCTCCTCCTCCCTGACCTCTGTCCCCTGAGCTCAGGAGGGGGCTGACACCTGTGACAGGAGCCCCTCCCTTCCTCTCTAGGAGGGAGAGAGCCCTCCCTCCCTGGGGGCTCTGTTTGGGAAGCTGGATGAGCCTGGTCTGTGGAGAGTTTAAAAAGCCAGTCGTTTGGTACTGCCTGGTGATGGGGCCCATCTCAGCCTGGATGGGGCTGGAGGGAACTCTGAGACCCCAGGGAGGGGTGGGTGGCTCTTGGGTAGTTACTGGGGGTAGGGTGAGGCCTGGAGGGGATAAGAGGAGGGGAGGGATGGGGAGTGGCAAGAACCCAGGACCCAAATTCCCAGCCTGGCCAACCCTGCAGCCACGTCTGCCCTCAAGAGAAGCAGGGGCTCCTCGAGGTCAGCGGGGCGGGGGGAGTTGGGGTGGGCCTGAGGCTCTTTCTGGTAGAGCCCCTGGTCCCCCTGTACTTCCACCACCCTTCCCTGCTCTGTAGAACCCCTGGGTGCTGAGTGGCAGGAGCCATGGGGTCTCCCACCTGGGTATGGCTGGCTGGGTCACTAACCGCTGTGATCTGCTTCCTTTCCCTCCAGATTATGCGGATCAAACCTCACCAAGGCCAGCACATAGGAGAGATGAGCTTCCTACAGCACAACAAATGTGAATGCAGGTAAGGATGGAGTCACGGAGTCATTTGTTCAGTGAATGGCTGCTGAACGAATTCAGGGGGCCCACTCTAGGCCAGGGTTAGGTACGTTCCACTTGTTAGCCCATTTCCACCTTCCAACTGTGTAACTGTGGGCATTTCGATATTACTTCAATGTGCCTCGGTTTCCACATCTGTAAAATGGGCACAATAATAGTATGCACTGCCTAGCGTTGTTATAAGGATTAAATGAGTCATTATATGTCAAGAGTTTAAAACTGTACTGATGTATCATAAATAATACGTTAAGTTTTTATTATTATTATTATTATTATTCTCGTTACCATCACCATCTGAACTCCTCTCTGTTTTGTTCTTTTCTCTTTCTCTACCCACTGCAGACCAAAGAAAGATAGAGCAAGGCAAGAAAAGTAAGTGGCCATGACTTTCCCTCTTCTCCCTCTACTTGGCTGGTTGTCTTGGTTTAGGGCTCTTGGCTTCCTCTCTCAGGGGGGTCTGATGGCTTCACTGGGTCTGAGAGTTGGTTTCATGGGGACTTGTGGTGGCAGCAATGGGATGGAGCAAACTCCAGGATTATGGCTCTAGAACAACTGACAAAACTCAGCCTGGTGCCTGGAACTTCCTTTGGAAGAGACGATGCATCTCTGGGCCATTCCTGGCCAGGACTTGCGGTCTTGGTGTGTCGGGGGCTGTTGTGGATGCTGGCTCCCGGGTCTGCTCTAGCCTCCTGTCACCCGTGGCAGGGAGAGGGAGTGGGTGGCAGAGAGGCCAGCTTTTGTGTGTTAGAGGAAATGGCCTCGTTGGTGGCTGCAGTGGTGGTGCAGTTGGATTTGGGGCCAGCTGGGGTGTTTTCTTGGTGCATGCCCTCCTGCGGGAGTGAGGCAGGCCAGAGACGCTCAGCCCCCTTGGCCAGGGGGAAAGAGGTGAATGTTGGCCGTTTCCTGAGGCTTTCAGTTGCTCAGTGTGGAGGGTCAGGTCAGGATAGAGCCGGGGGGTGAGGTCTGGCAGCGGTGATCCTTCAAGACAGGGCGAGCGGCTGGCATGGGAGAGAGCCTGCAGGGGAAGAGACTGAGAGAGAGCACCTCTGCCCTTCCCCCACCCATCATCCTGTCTGCCCCCAATGCTCTGGTGACATTGAAGCCCCCTAGGCCTCAACCCCTTGCCTCTTCCCTAAGTCCCCAACTTCAGGATTGCTGAGCAGTGATTGGGGACAGGAGGCTCAGAGAGAGAGTGTGTCTGTGCGCGTGTGAATGAAGACCTTCCTTCCTCCGGAACTTTCTCCCGAGAGGGAGCAGACTTGCCCCTCTCCTCCATCCCTTCCCCTTCATTTGTCCCATGTGGCAGCCATCCTGAGGGGCATATTCTCCGGGGCCGGGCAGGTGTGGAGAGGGCGGGTTCCCTTGAGGGGGACAGGCTTCCGCTTGCCGCCCTTGCCTGTTCCCCAAACGCCTGCCTTGCCCACAGGGAGAGCGGGGTTTCGCCTGGTCTCCAAAGAGAGTCTGGTGAGATGGTGTAGCAGGCTTTGCCAGGCTGGGGAGAGGACGCTTCGCCAAATGCCGCCCAGGCCCCCCTCCCCACGCCTTCCTAACTCCCACCCCACCCTGCCGCCTGCCTGGGGCCCCGCCTCTCAGCCCAGGTTATGGCCCGGCTGGGGGGGGCCTTTCATGTGCCACCCTTGGTTTTGCGCCAGCTCCCAAGATAGCTGCTCCCCTACACTGGGGTTCACAGAGGCAGGGCCCCTGGAGGGAACCCTCGCTCTGGTACTTGGAAATGAAGGCAGAAGGTGCCTGGAGTATAGCCTGCACCCCCTTCCCTCGCCCCCCATCGAGTCAGGTCTCTGACCGTCTCCCCAAACTCTGGCCTACCTCTTATGGCCCCTGACCTTCAGGGTCAGACTTGTTCAGGGATGCTGGGCAGAGAGCCTGCCCCCTAGGCTTTGCCTCCTGCCTGGGACCAGGAGACACCATGAGCGTGGAGGCCTGTGGGTCCAGTGCCCCCCACCCAGCCTCTGCTCCCCCCGCCACATACACAGCCTTGCTAGGAGCTGGGTTTGCCGCCCCCCGCCCCGCCCGAGGGTGAAGTGAGAAGGCGCCATTGGGTGCCTGCTGCCCTGGCCCATCCCGCGTGTGTGCACGTGCGCAAGCTCTTCCTCGTGCCTCGGAGTGTGTCCTGTGTCCTGCCCTCCTCACTGCTTCCTTTCCTCTCCCCTACCCCCTTGCTTTCTCTCTGTCTGTCTCTGTTTTTTTATTTTCCAGAAAATCAGTTCGAGGAAAGGGAAAGGGGCAAAAAAGAAAGCGCAAGAAATCCCGGTATAAATCCTGGAGCGCGTACGTGGTGCCACCGCTGTCTCGTTTCCTGGAGCCTCCCCAGCCCCCAATCAAACTCCCGCCTGCAGGACCCTGGAACCCTGCCTCCATCCTGCTCCCCTTCCCTGGCTCCTGTCCTCCCTCTTCCCTAGTGACTCTCTCTCACTCTCACTCCACTAATTGGCACCGATGGGTAGATGTGGTGGTGGCATTGCTGGTCCAGGGTTGGGGGTGGGCGGGTGGGCGGAGGGGGCCTGGAGGATTCAGGGAGGGGCCTCTGGCTTGGCTGGGCACCCACCGCCTTTCCCTCACCCACTGGGCACTGGTGGCGGGCCCATGTTGGCACGGGTGCCGGGCGCTGATGCCTGCTCACCCAACTGGTTTCCACTGCTCTAGGCTTCCGCACTTCTCTGGAAGCTGGGGGGTGGGGGCGGGGAGGGCAGACGTGGCGTGAGGAAGGGGCGTGGGTGAGGTGAGGCAGCTCGTTGTTGGCTGAAGGAGGATGTGGTGTCAAACACCACTGTGGCCCCTCCTTGTGGACTTGGGGCCTCTGCAGGAGAGCCCCCTATTCCAGCCCAACCCATGGCACCCACAGAAGCCCTCCCGTAGGGTGGCCTCTTCCTCTGGGTTTGAGGCTGTCGGGGACCCTTTGGCCACCAGTGGCCTGGCCTGTGGACCCTGCCTCTGGGCCTAGCCTGCCGTCACTCCCTGCTTCAGCCCCCCTTTGGTGGAGGGGCCTGAGCATGAGCCTTCACCCAGGGAGGAGGTGGCCCCGATTGCCGTTCCCAGCAGGTGGAGAGTGAAGGTGTGCTTTTTCGGGGGTGGTAGCCGTTGGGGCCCTGTGGCCCGAGACTTGCACTTGTGCCCGTGGGACAGCGCTGCCCCTTACAGCACCCCTGTCCTTGCATTCTGCCCGTGTGCGTCCGCCTCTTCCTGCGGGCAGGCTTCCTAGCCAGTGCTGCCTCTTTCTGCCGCTCTCTCGTCTTCTGCTGTGGCGTCGGACCCTTCCAGGGCGTGGAAGGGTGTGGGGCCCGTGAGCTGGGTGGGGTGCAGCTGCTGACGTGGTAGGGGGTGTTGCATGGATTTTTTTTCTCTCTCTCTGCTGACGCTCTAGCTTAGATGTCTTTCCTTTTGCCTTTTGCAGTCCCTGTGGGCCTTGCTCAGAGCGGAGAAAGCATTTGTTTGTACAAGATCCGCAGACGTGTAAATGTTCCTGCAAAAACACAGACTCGCGTTGCAAGGCGAGGCAGCTTGAGTTAAACGAACGTACTTGCAGGTTGGTTCCCAGAGGGCGAGCAAGTCAGAGAGGGGCTTTGCACAGAGATGGGGAGAGAGAGAGAGAGAGAGAGAGAGAGAGAGAGAGAGAGAGAGAGAGAGAGAGAGAGAGAGAGAGAGAGAAGAGAAGAGAAGAGAGAGAGAAGAGAGAGAGAGAGAGAGAGCGAGAGCGAGCGAACGCGCACCTGAAAGGGGCCAGCTGCTTGCTCAGCTTCTAGCTGCTTGCCTGGTGACTGCCGCCTTCTCTGCTCGCGGGGCCCCTGCGCTGGGCAGCGGGTGCTGGCCGGCCCGCCAGGGCCAGTTCAGAGCTTGCCCTGGTTGCGTGAGTGGGCAGGCCAGTGTGGCTTCCTGTGGTGGTGTGGACGCAGGCTGAGTGTTGTGTCCTGTGGTCCTGCTCGTAGTGGCTGTTGGTTCTGACGTCGTGATTCCTACCTCTGCTGCTAATAGGGAGGGCCCTTCCCGGCGTGGGGGGATGCGCCTCTACAAAGCGCAAATACTTGGGGGCCTCGCCACCGCCTCTGAGGTCTGCACCGCTGGGTTTCTCATCCCCTCAGTGTCTCTCCTTCGGGACAGGGCTTGAGTTCATCCTCAGACTGGGGTCCTGGAGGGTGTGGGCTCTGCCTGTTGGTTTAGGGCAGATAGGAGATTTAACATCAGGGGACGCTAGATACCTTAATACTCCAGTCATCACGGTGACAACCCCAAACAGCCGACCTATTTCCAAATGCCCCTAGGATGGGTGGAGGGAGGGAGCCACACCCATTCTCCTAATATTAGGCTGTGAGCTCCTCACACCTGGGCCTAGGTTTTATTCATCTGTGTGACCCCCCACCCCCACCCCAGGCATCTGTGCCTCTGTCCCTTGTTCACACCAGGGACCAAGGAAGTGTCAAGTGCGTGAGTGAATACATGACCGAGTTCAGGGGTGAGGGCAAGAGCACGGGGCCGTGACAGGTGGCTGGCAATCTTTTGATGCCTCACTGGTGTTTATACTCGTCTGGCCTGTGCTCAAAGGCAGGGAGCCCTCTGGGCCACCGTAAGCTTCACCCAGGAAGGAGAGGCTTTTATGGGGATTCCCGGGCAGGGCCAGGGTGCCCCCGGCTAGTCCAGATGCCTCATTGGTTAACAGGGTCCTTGGAGTGTAGCTCTCTCCCCTGTCTCCCGTGTTCCTGTGGCTTGTGAGTGTCAGGGAGGCTGGGGACCAGGCCCTGGGGGTGTTACTGTGGGTTCTGTCTGTCTTGGCGGTACGTGAAGGCAGGAAGTGTACACTAGTGCTGGGGTGGGGGCTCTGCCTCACCTCAGGGCTGGTTGAGGGGTCTCCACATCTCCCAGGGACCTCCGAGAAGATAAGGGATTTGCCATTTTAGGGTTACCACGGTGATCATTCTGCAGAGATGGGATAGGGGGATGTCTGCAGTGACCTGGGGGCTAACTGAAGTTACCCGAACCCATCCTCTCACCTGGCTGTATGGGGGAGTTTCAGTCCTCAAATAGGAGGCTTAGGATCCCCATTCCTAGGCTCTCAGAAGGGCAGGGCCTGCTCTGACCTCTCTTCAAGTGGGGAGGGTAAAAGGCGAGCAGCCCAGGTGCAGGGGCGTGATGGGAAAGTTCTAGGAGTCCCCTCTGCCTCCCCGACCCTAAGTTAAATAGCATATTGGAAAGTTAAGGCAGCCTGTTACCTGGGGCCTGCAGCTGAGGCCAGGACGGTGGGCATGGCGAGGGGAGGTGTGTCTCTCACCTTCCCAGGGCCCCAAGCCCTGCTGGCTCCGGCTCTCTTGGGAGCCTCACTTCCCCAGCTTCCTGGCCTGCTTGGCCTCTGCACAGGCCCTATCCTTTGCTCTCCCAACTCGTTCCCCCAGACCAGCACCATAGGGACTGCACTGAAACATCTCCTTCTGCAGGGAGGCTTTGCTGATTAACTTGGTCCAACTTTGCTCACCTATCAGCTCTTAAATGTCAACTAGGGACTGTTCTTTGGGACGTGTTCATTTGTTGCTTGTGATGAGATGTCATTCTGTCTTTGTCTTGTCTCAACTAGATTGTAAACTCCAGAGGGCAGACTGGGAGCCCTGGACGTAGCTGCCGCTCTCCCAGAGGCAGGACTGCGCTTTCTCTGTCCTCTCCCCTGCTGGCCTCGGGCTGCAGGAAGGGGAGGCTGCAGCCTCCCCACCGGGGCTCCTCCCCTGGCCCTAACCCCCAGCCTCTGTTTCCCGTTCTCTGCAGATGTGACAAGCCAAGGCGGTGAGCTCGGTGGGAGGAAGAAGCCTCCCTCAGGGTTTCGGGAGCGAGACGTCTCACCAGGAAAGACTGACACAGAATGACCCATAGCCGCTGCCCCCGCACCACCACCACCATCAACAGAACAGACCTGAATCCAGAAACCTGACATGAAGGAAGAGGAGGCTGTGCGCAGAGCACTTTGGGTCCGGAGCACAAGACTCCGGCAGAAGCATTCCCGGGCGGGTGACCCAGCACGGTCCCTCTTGGAATTGGATCGCCATTTTATTTCTCTTGCTGCTGCTAAATCGCCGAGCCCGGAAGATTAGAGAGTTTTATTTCTGGGATTCCTGTAGACACACCCACCCACATACATACGTTTATATATATATATAAAATATATAAAAATAAATATATATATTTTATATATATATATAAAATATATATATTCTTTTTCTTAAATTAACATTGCTAATGTTATTGGTGTCTTCACTGGATGTATTTGACTGCTGTGGACTTGAGTTGGGAGGAGAATGCCCCCACCCAGATCCTGACAGGGAAGAGGATGGAAGGAGAGGCTCTGGCATCATCTTTTTATCCCTCTTAGGGAAGCCGGGGTCCCCTCACCTGCCTGGGAACGCGCAAGGCCAGGGCACGGGGGCAAGTTTTGCCTGCTTTTGGAAAAAACACCGACAAACCCAGCCCTGGCCCCCGAGCCCCTATCCCGAGTCAAATGGACAGAAAGACAGGCAACAGGTACAGGGCACGAGGACGCTGGCTCTGACCAGGAGTTTGGGGGAGCCTCGGGACACTGCTGTGCTTTGGAGAACCCCTCCACGTGCTGCACGGGCATCTTGCCCCCAGGGGCACTGCCTGGAAGATTCAGGAGTCTGGGCAGCCTTCACCTCCTCTCACCCTCTTCCGAGATGCCCAGGAGGCCACTGACATGCCTTGGCGAAGAGAAGAGAGACGTTGGTGGAGGAAGGGCCGCCCAGTGGCAGCTCGTCCTCCGAGGGAAGGGCCTCCTGCCTTGGCCCTCTCCCAGCTTCGCTTCCCGGGGCGCAGCCCAGGAGGGCCCGATGTCCTCAGACCATTGAAACCACTAGTTCTGTCCCCCCAGGAGACCTGGCTATGTGTGTGTGAGTGGTTAACCCACCTCCATCCCCCAACCCGACCCTTCCTGCGGCATAGAGAGACAGGGCAGGGTCCCCGTGCCCACCCTGGAGGCAGAGAAAAGAGAAGTGTTTTATATATGGTACTTATTTAATATGCCCTTTTAATTAGAAATTAAAACAGTTAATTTAATTAAAGAGTAGGGTTTTTTTCAGTATTCTTGGTTAATATTTAATTTCAACTATTTATGAGATCCATCTCTTGCTGTCTCGCTCTCTCTTATTTGTACTGGTCTTTGTGTATAAAATTCCTGTTTCCAATCTCTCTTGCTCTGATCGGTGACAGTCACCAGCTTGTCCTGAACAGATATTTAATTTTGCTAACACTCAGTTCTGCCCTCCCCTTTCCCTTGGCTCCCCACCACACATTCCTTTGAAATAAGGTTTCAATATACATCTACATACTATATATATATTTGGCAACTTGTGTTTGTGTATATATATATAATATATATATATATATATGTTTATGTATATATGATTCTGATAGACGTTGCTATTCTGTTTTTTATATGTAAAAACAAAACAAGAAAAAATAGAGAATTCTACATACTAAATCTCTCTCCTTTTTTAATTTTAATATTTGTTATCATTTATTTATTGGTGCTACTGTTTATCCGTAATAATTGTGGGGGAAAAAGATATTAACATCACATCTTTGTCTCTAGTGCAGTTTTTCGAGATATTCCGTAGTACATATTTATTTTTAAACAACAACAAAGAAATACAGATATATCTTAAAAAAAAAGCATTTTGTATTAAAGAATTTAATTCTGATCTCAAAGCTCCTCCTGGTTTCTCCTTCTCCATTGAATCTTTGTTCCAGACTTCCTCCTGCCCCCTTTCCCTCCTCCCATGGGAAACACGGCATTTGCCTGAGGTCTGGGAAAGGGGTTCCAAGTGTGTAGGATACGGGGTGACCCACCTCATTGTGCCGGGGGCCAGAGTCTTTCCATTCTGGCTGGGCCCGTCCTGGGGGAGCTCGTTCATCTTCTGCCATCTGTGGAAGTGGGGGAGGGAGAGACAGCTCCTTAGATAGGAGCCAAGGGCCCTGCAATGAGTAGAGCTGCCTTCAGGAGTCACGTGATCCAGGCAATGTCCCTTGTCAGGGAAGGAACTGGCCATGTCTCTGAGCTTGTTTCCCAGAGGACAGGAGGGGACTGGGTTTGGCTCTGGAGCCTTGGCTGCAACAGGCTGGGAATGGGAAGGGGGTGCTTGTGTGGGGCCTGTACCCCCAGGGTATAAATTAGTTTTACGTAGTAGTCCTGGAGTTCCTTGAGCCTCTGGAAGGTGGGCCCACGGTTCCACTTGCCCCTGAGGGGACTCCCTGCCCGGCCTTGCTGCGTAGGCCCCGCTCTCCTGCAGGCCCGGGGAAGGTGGAAGCTGTCTGGGTCTTTGGCATTTATGAACAGTGCTTCCAAACCCACTTCTCTAGCCTCTTTTATTCCTTCAAACCATATCTATTGGGCCACCAGCCATCGTGCCAGGGCAAGGGATGCTGTCATAAGACACAATTCCACCCCTCAAGAATCTGGTGAGGGTGGCTGAGGAGACACAGAACTATAAATCCACAAATAGAAAGATACATAAATTATGATGGGGGCATTTGATCCAGCTTGGGAGTGGGGATGGATTGCAGGTGGTGGAGTCTGGGAGGTCTGCTCATTATATTACCTTTAGGCTGCCCCTTAAAGAGTGTGAAGGAGAAGACAGAACATGGAGGGGCGGGTGGAAGGGTTGAAGCCGACATCCCAGGCAGAAGGGGCAGTGTGAGCAAAGGCATGGAGGGAGAACTCAGACAGGGAGTGGGTGAGGGGATGAAGGTGGGAGAGAGAGGCAGGAATAGCCCTTGCCTGCCGCACCCATGGTGCCAAGAGCCTATGACCTGGGGATGAGCAGCAGGTGAGGGGTTTTAAACAGGGAGCACCCCTGCAGGGAGGTTGTTGTAATCCTCCCGTGGGAGACACCCTGAGGAGGGTAGAGGTGACTTCGGTGGCTGATCAGGGAGGGCACCCCCTGCCTCTCCTGGCCACACTGGGTGGGGGGGACTAGAGAGGCGAGGTTCCTGCCCTCGTGCAGCTTTGGTTCTAGTTAAGTGCTCATTTTCCAAGCGCTTTCCACCTGTGGCTCTTCCGCTGGTTAACGCAATCCACAAGACCTGTGAGGTTGGGGCTCTTGTCATCCCAAGTGGATATTTGCCTGAGCCTCCAACTGGCCTTCCAGATTCTTCTCTCTCCTGCATTCTCATCAGCCAGAGTGAGCCTGTTAAAATGTGAGCTGAATCATATTACCTTTTGGCTCAAAACCCTGCCGACTCCGTTTTATTCGGCGAAAGAAGCCAAAGTCCATACAATGGCCTTAAAAGGCCCTGCACCATCTGTGTTGCCTTGATCTCCCCAACTCAATGACCTCTGACCCCACCTTGACCACCCAGCTCCAGCCACACCGGCTTCTCTGTTCCTCGCGGGTGCGCTCCCACCTCAGGGCCTTTGCACGTGCGGTCCTCTCTTCCTAGAGTCCTCTTCCCCCAGATGTGGCATGCGTGGCTCTCTCTCTCACCTTTAAGTTTTGTTACCATCTCAGCAAGGCTGCTTGACTATTGCATTTACAATCAACACCCTGCACTCGGGGTCCTCTTTTCACCATCCTTCTTTTTTTCCCATAGCACATGCCACCATCTAACACACTCTAGAACAGGTCTGTCCAATAGAACTATCATGTGAATGAACTGTGTATGTAATTTAAAGTGTTCTCTGAGCCAGATGTTAAAAGGTAAAAAGAAACAGGTGACGTTTAATTTAATCATATATTTTACTTAACTCCAACATATCTAAAATATCATCCCAACATCGAATCAATATAAAAATGCTTAATGAGAGATTTTATGTTTTTCGGTACTAAGTCTTTGAATCTGATGTGTATTTTGCTTTTATCAAACTTCTCAATTGGGAGCAGCAACATGTCAAGTATGCAGTATACATATGAGGCTGGTGCCTACCGTTTTGGACAGTGTAGCTTTAAAATTTACCCCTCCTCTTATTTCCCCCACTGCTAGAATGCAAGCAATGTGAGGGCAGAGATTTTTATCTGTTTTGTTCAATGTTGTACATTGTATCTCCAGCTCCTAGAACGTGCCTGGGACATGCTCAATAAACATTTGTTATCTGACTGACATTGTTGAAACTGAAGCCTGGTGACTGAGGGTTTGTTTTATCCCAAGACTATGGAGGTAGGTGATGGCTGGCACTGGCGGGAGTGGTGGGTAGACAGGCTTTTTGACAGGTGGGGACTTGAGCAGGGCTGGGTGAGGAGAGGGGAACTCAGAGTCAGTGGTGGGGATGAGGGACAGAGAGGCCTCTTCCCCTGTGCCAGGCCCTGTCTCCTCCTTTTAGCCACCCTGGAGACAAGGCTCATTATTTCTACTTGGTAGATGAGGGTCAGAGAGGGTAAATAACTTGCCCGAATCGACTCACAGCCAGTAAATGGCCAAAAGCCAGGATTTAAACCAGCTTTCCTGACTCCGACTCCAGTGCTCTCCCCACCTCACCACAGTTGCCCCAGGCTAGGGCAGAACATCAACAAATAAAAATGAATCGTCTAGACTGAATACAAACAGGCAGAAGAAAAGTGGGACGGGGGAGGATGTGGTGGTGGCCAAACCCAGGGCTGAAATCCATATTTCCCCAAGCGTGTGGCAAGGCAAGAGATGTCTCTAGGGCCTGGGCCCGTCAGTAGAAGATCTGAAACCTAAGATGGAAGAGGTTGCAACATGCAGCCTTGGAAGACAGAAACAGTCTTTAAATAGACTCTGGAGAAAAAGAAGGATAAAACGAACATGCTGCATCCCCCAGTTGTATAAGACCTGCTCGTACACCGGCTGCAGCCTTCCCAAAGGACCTCTCAAGGCTCAGTGCCAAGCTGTCCCAGCCTTTCTCCGCTCTGTGGGACTCACACCCTCCCCTCTGATCTGGCCACTGTTTTCCCGGGAGACATAGCGCTCCTTCTCAACTCTGCTCTGCCCAGCCTGAGCCCCTTTCCCCTTTTCCTAAGGGGCAACCTACCCTGGCCACAGCCCCAAAGGCCTTTGTGTACTTCTCCAAGGAACCTGAAAGCCTACACTTTCCTCCTGGAAGGAGGCTGGGTGGATCCATCCAGAACTTGGTGATTCTGGATCAGTTTCGCGTGTTAGTGCCGTTGTGGTGGCCTGGGTCCAAATATGGCTGCCAGCAGCGCTTTCCACCCCTACGTCTGCATGCTGCAAGAAAAAGAGTCTACTTTTCCTCTGTTGAATCTGGGCTGGCCTTATGACTTGCTTTGACTAAGAGGATGTGGCAGAACAGATGTTCTGGGACTTTCGGGCCTCGGCCTTGAGGGAGATTGCAGTTTCCATTTTTTCCCTCTTAGCCGGCAGCTGCCATGCTGTAAGGAAGTTCAACTACCCTGCTGGAGAGAGAAGCCATGTAGAGAGAAAGAGAGGGGCTCAGGCAGCCCCCAACTGTTCCAACCACCCCAAGCTGAGGCCCCAGACATGTGAGTGAGGTCATTTTTCATTCTCTAGCCCCAGGTGAGCCACTCTTGCACAACACAAAAAGGAGGGAAGCAATCTCCTGCCCAGATGTACAGGGTTGTGAGTAAATATATGGCTGTTGTTGTTTCAGACTATGATGTTTTGGGGTAGTTGTTACTCACCAATCATATCTGAACTATCTAACTAAATGGTCATTTCTTTGGGGCTAGGACCTTTGTCCCTTCCCATCCATAAGTCTTAGCTGGGTGCATGATGGTCTCAGTGGGTGGAGGGAGGTTCCAGGAAGGAAGGATGTTTATAAAGCAGTCAGAGACCAGCAGCAGTCTGCCTTGGTGGGAAGACTCAGGGTAAGGGCTGACCCAGGCAGGACAAAGTATTGTCCAAATTTCTAGAATGAGGAGAGCCACTCAGTTTTATTGAAGTCTCACCAAAAGAAAGTGGGCCTCATCTATAGCGTGAGGGAGAGAGGCTAGAGGCTGAGAAGAACTGGCAGAGAGAGAAGCACAAGGGATTTGGAGGAAAAGGCTATGGAATCTTGTCCTTCCCTTCCTTCCTTCCTCCCTCGCATCCTCCAGAATTTATGGAATAGCAGCCATATGGGCTATGCCCTGGTGCAGAATGGGCTCTCACTTACCGGGGCTGACTTTAGCCTAAAGATGGGGGCCAGACGAGATGACCTCTGGGAGCCCCCACCAGGTTGGCCTCAGAGTTCTTGGGAGGAAGATAATTTAGCTGCATCCACAGGACATTATCCATCAGGACATGGGGAACAGGTGAGGGCAGGGAAGGAATCAGTGAATATTCATAATCTGCCTGGAGAGGGAAAATGCAAGGCAAAGATAGGGCCTGGCTGAGCATCTGCAGAGGAGGAGATGGGAGTGACTCCAAAGGCGGATGAGCTAGAACTGAGGGGAACAGGGATTCAAAGGAAAAGGACCCGTCAGGCCTAGGGGCCTACAGGAGGAAGGCCGGGCCTGGGTCCCCTCAGGACCAGAGGACCGAGAGGTGAAACAGATTTTTTCAAAGGTTGCATTTGCCTTTGGGTGGTTAGTCTGTTAGTGAAGAAAGTATAAGTACTACCCTCAGGGAGCTCCCAGTCTGAGGCGGCTGACATGGTCCTTGCCCTCAGGGTGCTTTCCTGCCTTCCCAGAGTTCCTCGTTTGAGGGAGGAGCCAGAATCCCTGCCATCAGACATTTCTTTGTTGATTAAGATGGACACCATTCTCAGGAAGGCACCCCCTCGCCTTCATTCAGCT